GCCGCCGCCGCCGACGACGACGTGGACGTAAACAAAATTGCAACCCCGTGGTCGCAACCCGCCACTTCTCGTGAACCCTGCCACTTTGTGAAATTGGAAAGAATTTCGACCGTGAGTTTTAGCGTGTGTGTTCCGTGTTCCAGACGCCTCGATCTCGAGATCGCGGCTCTCGCGACGAAAATTGAAGCCCGCGAAAAGATTATTTCTCGCTTTCGAGCAACCGCGAAGCAAATCGTCGTTAAAGGTTTGCTCGAAATGTTAGGAGTGGAAAGAGTGAAGTGGAAGTTTCACAACAGCCTGAACAGACTTTCGCTGCTTTCCCCTAGGTTCGCAACGAGCAGGAGGACCAGCCTTCACGTCACAGACACCAGACACAAAGACGAAGAGCAGATCGCTGAGAAAGCAACGGGGAGGAAAGCGGAAAGACCGAGGAGAAGTATGAAAGGAGGGAGAAAGAAGAGGAGACCGACTCGGGCTCTCGTTACAGAACCACCGACTGTCGGAGAATATTCTTTTGTGCGGTCTTGGCTTCGTTAAAATTAAATATCGATTTTGCTTGCAGGGCATTTCAAGCTGGCCTGCGGAGCAACTGCAATATCGCTGGCGAGCGTTTCGTCGCCCGACCAACGGACGACAAGCAGAGGACAAACGAGCGGAGGATGCGCTTCGCGACATTTATTACGACGTTTCCTTCGATTTTTTCCCCCCCTGGAGACAATAGCCTGGACGAGCAACGAGACTAAAGAGTAGCGAAACGATCACGAAACAATTGAAAAAAAAAAAAAAAAAAAAAACCGGTCGACCGGATATCTACCAGAGTCCGTGAATTGACCCAGAAAAATGACGCGCAACAGTGACTCACTAGATGCGTGGTGAAATATTAAACGCCACGTTCCACTTTTTCCACGTTTTTTTCCAAGCCAGAGGAAGGAGACGATGATGTCGATACTTGGTGGCTTTGTCTCGGACTCTGTTTCCCCTGCACTGGGTCAAGAAGATGCACGGACGGAGGGTGGATCAAGGCAGAGATAAGAGGCGCTCTCGGCCGAATCGATCGAAGCGAGACCCGATCCGACCCGACTCGATCAACCCCCATCGTGTTTCGAATATTTTCTCGAGTTCAAGCGAAAGTAGTCGACTCGATTCCGACTGCTCCTGATAATTGATCATCGCCGCTTGACACGATTCGCAATCGGATAGCTGGCGACTCGAATTAACTCCTCTTTACCCTCGACGAGGGTTTAATAGCTAATGGGCGATCCGATTTCTCTTCCTTCCGCCTAACAATCCGTTTCCAGTCGATCGTTCGAGAGTCTTCTGTTCTCAAGGCCGTTCTCCAGAGAGAGAGAGAGAAAAAAAAGAGGGTGGAAATCGATCGGGGCCCGGCAAAGTGCCGAGCCACTTTAACCCTCTGCCGCATTCTCTGCCTAACGACCGGCAGAAGGGTCGCGTCGCGGCTTTTTTTCTCCCCACCCCCCTCCCCCTCCGCTTTAGGCACGCACGAAATTAATAAATAACGTCGGTCCACTTTATTGCGGACTTTTCACGAATCTCACGCGGAGAAAGCAGGCTGCTGCCCCCCGTGCAATATCTTGCCGCGTTAGCGCCGAGGGCGAAACTTTCACGAACCTCCGCCGCGTGCTCGTTACGCTGTAACCCAAGTGGCCGTGGGGCGAAGGGTGGCCCGCGAATCTATTGACCTTGCTTGGTTCCCGCAGGAGGAGGCCGCGTTAATAATTTACCTGGGCGAAACGCGGTGTTTTGTAAAATTAGTTTTGTTGCGCCATTTGACGTTCGCTCGCCGGGCAACAGACTGTTCTCCCCGAAGTTGACCTGCGTCGCGAAGTTCCTCCGCGCCCTCTTCGGCCGTGCACGACCCTCCAGCGAGCAGCTCTAATTTCAGGGTTAGTTGAGGTCTCTGGAAACGGTGATTTCGCCTCGCGAGACACGTCGCCGCGTTTATGCTCTACGTTTTCAGCTTTCCTTTTGTTCCAGAGGGAAACTCACCTAGTAACACCACCCCTCGTGGCAAAATTTCGCGGCGAAACGTGAGCTCCGGCGTTACGCGCGACATTTCGTAGAGATTCGTGCGCAAGTATATTCGCAATTCCGCTCCATGTTATTAAGGAGGAATAAAATTCTGAACAGAAGAAAAATCGATCGCGAAGCGGGGGGAATTGTTCGACGAAGCTGCGTAGAAAATTAATGAAAGAAAAAAAAGTAAACGAGCGCGACGAATGAACTCTTCGTGTCTGCTTTGAATCGAATGTTCGTCGCTGGAAAACGATCGCGTACGCCTTCGTATTCTATTTTCATGGGTTTCCAAGGTTCAGCTCGAACATCTCCCTTTGAAATCAAAGAAGCAACCGAAGCCGAGGGTTTTCTCGAAGCGAGTTATCGCCGAAAACGCAACAAGCGAAACCACGCGAGCTCGTCAGAAGGTCTGACACGTTGTATCAGCTCGCTTTTACATCTCGTGCCGTGGCATCCTTTGTTCCGCGTAGCTCGCCGAGATAAGAATCGAAAATCGTGTTTCCACAACGAAATCGCGAGTCCACGTTCCGAGCTTTCTCCTCGCCACTCCTGGAAACGAGAATGCTCCGAAACGAAGGTCCTCCGTACTCGGAGTTCGGAGTTTAAGAGACTCGAGGCTGACGGAGGGATCGCTTTCATCGATCATCGACGAGACTCTGGGATGAGATCTCTGGAATAATACCAAGACCCGATGGAGAATCTCCCTGCCAAAATTTTATGCAAGATCAGCGGATTTGCGTGACTTTTCTCCGCCGAAGGAGTTCGAAGGATAGGAGCCTTAACGGTATCTTTCTCGAAATCATTCGAAATTTTTATCCCGTTCAACACGCTGTCGACGGATTAATCTTCTGTCTGTCCACGTTTTCACCGCTTGGTGAAACGCCTCTCTCTTTCTTTCTTGGCAGAATCTCGTTACAACCGAATTTCCACGATGATCTACATTCGCGTCCGGCACTGCGAATATAATCGTGTCTGTGGTGAAAAAAGCTCGTGTTCCGCTCGCCAGCAGGGAAAGCTTTATAGGCGGCGCAATATGTAACTGTCGCAGGAGCGACGGACGTCCAATAAAAGCAGGCTTTTTTCCTTGGCCCCTTTTCTCCCCCGCGGGGATAAATGGATCGGGCGGACGTGAGCTTTAG